GGATTTCACCTTGAATGTTTAAAATATTGTGAACGAACAATCACCAAATCTATGTACAAATGTATCAGGAATAAAAGTATGTATTGGAAAGCGTGTGTATTGGAAACATGTATATTTTGATCAAGTATTTATTAATTTTATATGCAATTCACTATACATCCGTGGGAGTCCCTGCTTATCAGTGGTACAGCATGGAGGACCTGGCCACGGACAGTGGATAGTCGTGTCTCGGATTGGGTTGGGGCGAAAAACCGAGGTTCCGTGTACATATTGACTTGCACAAAAAAGAAGACCTGACAGTTGGAATTCGATATAAGTATAGGTCCTAGTGCCACTGTCCAAGCAAAACGTCTCTCATAGCAAATTACATGGCGTATGTCAGTCTTCATTATCCCAGTCTGTACAGAACAGTAGGGCGTTAAGCCCCATTTCATTTACAGCAATGATATAACTATATTTGTTTGTATTCCAGCAGTGTTTGTTATTATTGATGGTTTGGTTACTTATGGTTGCTATAGACAACCAACATCACCATGTTCACATCATACTCTAACTTGTAAAGATCGTGTGGTTATAGCAGTAGACGAATTCCCTGTTGGCATTGCATATGGCAGAAAAAGGCATGGATATACATGCCGCCAAGATCAAATGGGAATATGTAATGCAACATGCTGTAGACGGCAAGGACGTAATGAAGGTTTTACACCAGTTAACCAATCAGAACGTTTATCAGTTTATAGAAACTGTTCAAATCAACCAACTTGTACTGTCACATCTCCTTACAGTCCTCATACTGATTATGATTATATACGTTATCCATAAATTTGTATTCCAGGTAAGTCTTCTATACAATGTCCTGATACTGCTCTGTTAATACTGTCGTATATTTAACAATAATTGCAATTAAAAATATAAACTGAAGCATTATATTGAATTCACTGTTCTGTACTATAGTCATGATAATGGTATTTTTAATACTATCATACATTTAACAAGATATCGCAACAATGGTTTCAATGCACCATACTTTACTGCAATAAAGACAAGACGCTAAATGTTATTTGTTTGTTTTGTTTTCTGTCAACACATATTACAGCAATATGTGTTTTATTTACAATTGTTCTGATGTACAATATGATGAACATCAACGATGTGAGTATTCTATATAAGGGATATTTATATTACTCTGGTAAAACACAAACTACAGGTACAACAATTACTAGATGTTGTAATGTAACAAGTCCTGGACCAATACAGGTAGAAAGTGTTTACATATATCTAACAGAAGAATCAAGTTACAACGTGAAGATTTATTTAGGGAATCAGACTTTATTAAGTTGTATAGATGAAGGTGGTATATTCTATGGTTTTGAAGAATTTTCCATTTCTGGAGACAGGATTTACCAAGTGGTACTTAACAACATAACTGTTGAAGATTATATTTGGTTACGAATAACAACACCAAGTGAGAGTATGAGAGAGAGAGAGGGGGGGGTATCATATTGTTTAATTTTATTTCAATAATTCTCCTCCGCGTAGAGGTCTTTAGATGGGGGAGGGGGGAGGGGGGCGTAGGCTAGACATGCAATGCTACTTCTTTTCAAGTAATCGAAACTATGTCACTTGCTTTGATGTTCCCAAAGTTGTCTTATACGACCTAATTACTGGGCCTCCTAATCGCAAAGATATGGAGCCAAACCAGCGGGTTTATAGATCACACCTGCGAGACTGAGAAGGGGCCTTCTACATGTGACGTCACATCACGCGGCGTCGACCATTGGCACGATGGCGCGTGCATTGTTTACGTAACTAAAGTAACCTGATTTGGTTAGAATGGTGCTTTTTATGTACCCATTTAGACTAAATAGGAAATATTTTTTACTTACATATACTTCAAAAACTTTTATTTATTTTTTTATTGTTAAGAAAAATGCGCTAAAATTTAATTTTCAACAGGAAACAAGTAAATATTGCTAGATAATTTCCCCGCACCGATGTCACCCCCGGTGATTGTAGCGGCCTACGAATATTAACCGCTGAACAGTGTGGTGACGTTGGTTTAAAAATAAGAAATCTAAAGTCACAAAAGGGCCTTGATTTGATATTGTAAATAATTGTTAACAGGAACGAAATGTCAATGTTTTTGTCCTTATGAACGACTGTGTTATACCGTCTTCAGATGCCAATTTATCAACTATGTATTATTATTAATGCTTTAAATACCAATCGTCTAGATTTGACTGGCGTGGATACAACAGCAACTCTGTAATCTTGGACTTGTCTTATATACATTTTATATCAAGCATGATACAAAATTTATAAGCATAAATTTACATAAAACTCAAAGAGAAAATATATCCCATTCTCTCAACCCCACGCCACTAAGTCCTGCCAGTGTGGTCAGACGTCTGGCAAACATTACACCTGGTTTCTCCTAAGAACTCAAATGGTCGTCTGATTTGACAAAACAAATTTTCCTCTGTTATATTCCCTGGTATTTCATATTAATTAGGTGACTGGATAATTGCGCCCAATGACGTCGGGAATTAGCCAAATATGGATATGTAAACTAATTAGTCTTAAATATAGGTGGGTCACAAACCAATATCGTGACAGATACCATGTCATAATATCCTGTCCTAATCACGAAGTTGTAAACAAATTACGTTTTAATGGAATGAAATGAAATGGTGTTTAACGTCCTGCTAATTATGTTTGAGATAAATAGAACTTTTATGTCAGACTGACATAATTTATCTTATATTAATATATTACAATAGCTAGTTGTACGTGGCAAGGAGTAGGGTCGCCTGTCCAACCTCGTGGGTTTTCTCCGGGTCCTCCGGTTTCCTCCCACTGCTAAAGACCCCTACGCGCAAGCGAATTACGTAAATAAAATTAAACCATATGTTAGTCCCGAAATGACCTAGTTTGTGTTGAGTGGACGTTAAACCCCATTTCTCTCTCTCTCTCTCACAATAGCTAGTTATTCTAGTGGTCGTCCAGGTATTGTAGTATTGCGTGGCTTTGCTACAATATCACCCCGATTGAAGTGGACGTTAATTAAATCTATTTCGCAAAAAGATCGCCGTCTGTAACCCTGGTGTATGATTAACTTGCCATATCTTATATACCATATAGTTTGTATATGCATATTATATTACAGAGTCAAAGATAAGTATAACATGTAATGATTGTTCTTCTACGTCTACTACTTCGGGTAAGTACACAATAAGTTCTTCAATTGTAGATGTTATTGGATCTGTTCTAAAATGATTGATATTTAGTGAATGGTTGTAGGACATGGGTAACTAGAGAAAAAAGTCACGCAAAATCTTGGTATCATAATAATAATACTGTAATTATGATTAGCCCATATTGCAAAAAAAAAATGTTCTTTAATTAAGAAAGTAATTTCAATGAATAATTTTAAAATGGTTCATTCAACAATGTTTTAAAGTTGTTACTGGTCTGCCAGCAATCAAAAATTTAATATAACAATAGATGGAAAACGTTTCATATCCCACCCCATATACTTGCCTATGCCCACTACAGTGAATAATGAGAACAGATCGGATTCTGATTTAATATTTAATTTCATTTATTTATTTACTCAAGTGCAGTTTACGAAAGTTATCCGAAATATGAAACACCAGTACCGTATCATAACTCCCCCAGGAAACTGTAATTTACTGACTTTACACAGGCCCATGGCAATGGTATTTAAACAAAAAATATGACAGCAAAAAAAATAAGTGAAATGAAATGGGATTTAACGTCCTAAATTTCTGCTTCTAATGAAGACCGGCATACGGCATACAGTGTGCTATGGGGGGAAATTTTGCCCCGACAGCGGCACTGTGGCCTACTCTTATATCGAATTCCAACTACCAGGGGATCTTTTACGTACACGCCAATGTATACACGGGTCCTCGGGTTTTCGTACCATCCAAACGACTAAACAGTTGTCCTTGCCAGGCCCCTCGTTCTAAAATAAGATGCCGCATAAATATGCCTATACAATTATACATTCTGACTGTCAGCACGCGTGACCCTGATTTAATTTAAACTTGTGTTAGCCCAAGTCACATTCGGTATTTATCAAAAAATACATTTACATTAAATTAAATTTATTCTAAATATGTTCAATCTAGATGTAGGCCTATTTTGTGTGAAGTTTATAATTAATATGACTATATAGGCTACGTGCATTAACACTGGCTAGTCTACAATTAAAACCGAATTGAAATATATATGGGTATATAATGTCCCAGAAACTTCGTTTGTAAGAATGATTAACGGTAATTTTAATAATAGGCGTCACCTTGTTTAGATTAAACAGACTTGCACTGACAAGTCTCCAGATACTAAAAGAAGGTCCAGCCTATACCCGCTCTTTCCTGCTTGGGAGCATTCATTTTAACAATTTTACATGTAACCCGATGACCTTTGACCGTTGACCGTTGACCTCAAGAACTCAAGATGCAAAAGACAAAAGACAAATGACATTTTGCAAAGTTACTTTGTTGAAGTGTATATGTGAAAAGGTTGTGCACATTAGTGGATTTTTTCCAAAAAACATTTGTAATTTGACATTTGACTTTTACTTTAACAGTATTATGTATTCATCATTATAAGTATAACGACATATGTATTTTGCATCTTAGGTATTAGGTATTTTCTATGATGTATAATAACACTTTCAACATACATTTAGTTTTGGCCCTTAAATCCCGCCATATGATCCAGGATTCAGAGCGTATGTAGTCTTACAATCTTCGATTGGGAAGCCGGTCACCAGGATAGTCTTATACATGTACTAATTATTCTTAACAATCTTTTATTCGGATTTGTATCTGCATAGGGATTTGTATCTGAATAGGGATTTGTATCTGAATAGACATTTTGGAATCTACATATCCTATATCATGTCCGTCAGATATAAACATAGGCATAGATACATTTATTTACATTTTATAAATAAACAAAAAATGTACAAGTGGAAATATAATTACACTGTTTATTTTGTATGCTCAAATTTTGAACTATGGCGTTATCGTTGCTGCTGGAGACTTCTGATAATTTTGAAATACGAGTTGACAGTTTTAAAACTATTCAGTCAGCTCCCCGTGTCGTCAATATACAGTTAGCTCTCCTTGCCGTCAATATTCAGTTAGCTCTCCGTGTCGTCAATGCCGTGCAATATGACACTAGTGTTACGATAGACAGTAGATTGTGTTTTGTTCTGGACATCTGAATATAAGGAGCAATGTAAAACAAAGTGTTCAATATCTTCAAATTGATGACCACCATTACAGGATGGGTTGTCAGAAATAACCTTGTGAAAAGAGTAGAGTTGCAAACCTGACTTGCTGTCGTGTAACACTTACACCAGCCGTCTTACTAACTGATCCACCGGGGCTCTGGGTTGTACAAGCCAATAAAAAAAATAATAAATAAATTAATAATTACATTGGTCGGTTCTACCCTATTACAATACGACATGTTTAATGGAACACGGAACTCTTGAGTTGATAGGCTATCTCAAACACTGGGTTCATGAACACCCTATTACAATAAGACACGTTTGATGGGACACATAGCTCTTGAGATCATAGGCTATCTGAAACATCGGGTTCATGAACACCCTATTAAAAAAAGACACGTTTAATAGAACACAGAGCTCTTGAGTTCATAGGCTATCTGAAACACTGGGTTCATGAACACCCGTTTACAATAAGAACGCAGAGCTCTTGAGATCATAGGCTATTTGAAACACTGAGTTCATGAACACAATCATCCACACGATGACAACAACCAAACACACTAAAACACATCATTCCAACGACAACTAAACTACAATATTCTAGGGAACACCATTACTGCTTATTAATGAGAGACTTTTTCTAATGCTGCTTCTTTTCCAATTCTATTTTCTTTAACTTCACATTCTGAAGATATATAGAGTACATATTTACAATTGAAACTGAAGGCCGCAATGGCCCAGTGTGTAAGGCGTTAGGTCACTGACCAGTATGTCTCTGTTCCTCGGAATTTTCCGGCATGGTGCCCCCTTGTTAGCGATGCAGGGCATAGTACCCTCTTGTTAGGGAAGTAGGGGCCCTGGCAAGGTACTTTCTTGTAAGTGGTGTAGGGCGCATGACACGTCATGGTGCCCTCTTGACTTGTTACGGGTACACGACGCACGGCCTGACATGGTACGCCCTTGGAAGTGGTGCAGGGCCCAGGGTCTGGCAAATAACAGTTCGGATGGGAATATAAACCGAGTTCCCATGTACACGTTGGCGCGTACGTAAAAGAAAACTTGAGTGTTACAATTCGAAATAAGTGTAGACCGTAGCACCGATGTCCGGGCATAATTTCCCTTATGGCACACTGCGTACCCGTCTTTGCTAGCCTTACTTAAATCCCGTTTCCAGAATTAAAGTTAAACGAGTAGTCTCCCTTTATCTAATTTACAGTATTAAAGTTGCGTGTAGTTTTTCGTTCTCATGGCAACTCCCAACAAGTAAACATTCCCCGCCGTGTCAGTAATTTCATTTTATAATAACCAATAATATCCATAGACCAGGAAACAAGCCATATTGGAAATGTGACGTCATATCAAAAATCGAGGCCCGTCACTCGATGGTCGAATATGATGGAACAACAATGCCATATTTCATGTAGAAAGGTTTTGGAACTTGCGGTGCCTTAGGTATTTTGCCTATACCGTTTTGCCTGTACTTCGAATTTTGTCTAATGGTTTGGATTGTTCGTACTTGGTTTTATTTTATTTCGAAGATCGTCACTCCCAAGAAACAGAAAGACAATTAGATGAGTAAAGATTGGGCGTCATCCCCAAGAACAAGACGAACCACCAGATGAGTAAAGATCGGGCCCCCTGTTCCTGGTTCAAATGTTAAATTTTAAACAAAAAACATGCACAAATCCAAAATCCTCCCATTTACCTACTAGTTGGACGAAATCAACCATAGGACAGGAAACCTTGGCTTAGATCGCTACTTTATCCCTAGGTTCGGGACCTTCGTTCACTCTTTTAATCCAACCCATGTCGGGAAGCCTTGGGAAGATTCATTTTGTTCCAGTTGGGAATCCTTGGTTTAAATCGCTAATTTTATCCCAGGTTGGGAATCCGTGGTTTAGATACCTAATTTTAATCTCTCTTTGTTTAAACCGTTATTACTTTTCAGTCTTTTTTACCACTATTCCCTCCCCCCTGCACCCCCCCCCCCCCTGCCCCCCCCCACTCCCAATTACCATGTTCCACAATCAAATAGCTAAAACGATCTACCCAGGGTTATATCATTAATTTACCCACCTCTTCTTGTTTTTGACGATCCACTGTTATATGCATGTGTGTATATATTTTCTTCTTTTCTATTTTACTTACAGTATATACAACACTATTTAGTCCATCGTACCATATACGACTCTTGGCATTCTTTACAAGCGTGAATCTGAAATATATTACAGATTTGGGTCTTTGTTTTGGGTCGTAGTGTAGGACGTTGTCTCGCTAGCCTGTAGGTCCCATGTTCGATCCCTGGCGTTAGCGTGGTTTCCCTTTATAGATGTGCAGAACAGAAGGCCTGGCAAGGAACAAACCATAGTCGTTCGGATGGGACGAAAAATACCTACACATTAGCGTGTGCGTAAACGAACCATTGCCAGTTAGAATTCGATAAAAGAGTAGGTCGCTCTGTCGCTGTCTGGACAAAAACACCGTATGACGTATGCACGGTGGCTAAGTGAGTAAGACGCTAGCTCGCTAGCCTGGAGGTTACGGGTTCGATCCCGATGTTGGTCGAGAACTTTCATCGGGATTTCCCTTTGTCAGTGGTGCAGGATGGAGGGACTGATAAAGACAGCTGTCTAGTCGTTCGGGTGGTACGAATAACCGAGGTCCCGTGTACGCATTGGCTTGCACGTAAAAGATCTGTTGACAGTTGGGATTCGACATAATAGTAAGCCGTGGCGCCGCTGTTCGGGCACAATCTCCCTCATAGCACACTGTATGGTGTATGTCCGTCTTCATTAGCCGAATCGGAGCAGAACAGTAGGATGTTAAACCTAATTTCATTTCATTTAGCGTTTTTCAAGGTCTGCAAATATGACTACCATCCCCTTCTGCTGACCTTGACCTTGTAGATGGAATGCGTAAATCATTAATTAACGTTAAACCCCATTTCATTTCAAGGCAAGCCCGTCTTCATTAGCCCAGTCGGACCAGAACAATAGGACGTTAAACCCCTTTTCATTTCATTTTCCAACCAGAAGATTGGGAGTAGTAAGTGTATAAAAGTTGTTCAGCTCCAAATACCTGTCCGGGTTCAATGGACAGCCTTTATCCTTCCCGTGAACAGGGGTGGCATATCTACCATAAACTGCGGCAGGACGTACACACTTCAACCCTACCACCGCCAATCTGTAAAACAAATAATAGTCATAAATATCCAGCAGGTCTACTTTATGATCTAAAGCGTTTGCATTTGACACCCGACGATCCCCTCGCAGGAGCTAAAGGTATCGTAAAGAAAATAATTTGAGATCAAAGGTCAACAACAAAAATGATATCCACCATGAATGTTGTATTATCAAGTACCGTGGTCCACTAAATGTAATGTCTCCGGAATAAACATATGAACTCAAACATATAAACATATGAAATAAGCAATGTGAAGAAGTTAGTGGCAGACGCAAAAGTGAATTATTTCAATAATAAGATCAACGAATGTGAATCCAATCCGAAAAAACTTTATTCAACTGCTAACGATCTTCTGAACACTGCAAAGTCAAAAAACATCCTACCTGAGCATGACTTACCAGCGGCCCTTGCCGAGACCTTTGTACAATACGTCCACGACAAAATATCGAAAATCCGATTAGATATAATAACAACTCAGACAGCATGTACGGCACCATCCTCGCCTTACAAAGATTTTTCTTCTGCCACTTTCTGCACTTTCACCAACTATTCAGAACCTCAACTCCGTAACATCATCAAGAAAACAAAAACCAAATCTTGTAACTTAGATCCATTGCCTACATAGTTACTAAAGAACCATATCGACGTGTTTATTCAACCTCTGCTAGCCATCATTAACTCTTCCCTTCAAACTGGTATATTCCCAGAAGAACTTAAACATGCTATAATAACACCACTAATCAAAAACGCAACACTGGATCGTAACTGTCTCAAAAACTACAGGCCTGTCAGCAACTTAAGATATGTGTCAAAACTCTTGGAAAAATGTGTGCTTCTCCAGTTGAATGATTACATCTTCGTCAACAGACTAGTCAACGCTTACCAAAGCGCTTACAAGCCACACCACAGCACCGAAACAGCAATCATCAAAATTGTCAATGATGTTTATGTTGAGATTGACAAACAGAAAGCCGTTGTTCTTGTACTATTAGACCCGTCGGCAGCGTTCGATACCTTGGACACAGCTGACCTCCTCAATACACTTTGTAGCGAAATAGGTTTAAGAGGAACAGTATTTAATTGGTTTAAATCATACTTAACTAACAGAAAGCAGAAAGTGCTCATCAACGGTAGTTACTCAACAGACATGACCCTGCTTTGTGGAGTACCACAAGGTTCAGTATTAGGCCATGTACTGTTTATTATATTCACCAAACCTCTGAGCAAGATAGCACTCAAGTATGGATTAAACATTCACTTATTCGCCGATGACACTCAGCCATATATCAGCTTTCATCCCGGCACACAGCAGGCATCCATGACAAACATCAAGCGCTGTTTAAAGGAAATCCACAACTGGATGACCTTCCACTTCCTTAAGCTTAATCCTGATAAAACAGAGGTGATGTTCGCAGGTACTAGACATAAGCTCCAACAAATCAGAGACTGCAACATAACAGTTGGTGGTGAAAAGATTGAGCCATCTGTTAAAGTAAAGAACATAGGAATAGTCTTAGATAAAAACCTGTCATTTCAACCTCAAGTATCTGCTGTATCATCATCTTCATTTTATAAAATACACCAACTGAGTAAAATTAAACAATATCTCTCTTTGGATAACCTCTTGTCCCGTCTCTTGTAATATCTAAACTTGACTATCATAATTCAGTATTATACGGAATTCCTGACCATCAAATCCAAAGGCTCAATCATGTCCAAAACGCTGCCGCAAGGCTCATCACTGGCACCAAGAAGCGAGACCACACCACTCCCGTTTTGCGTGAACTCCACTGGCTGCCAATCAGAGCCCGAATTGAATACAAAATTCTCCTGGTGACTTACAAAGCATTACACGGTATAGCCCCAGATTACATAAGAGAATTAATATCAAAGCCACATTATTGTCAGTCTCTCCGTTCAGAAGATAAAGACCTTCTTGTCATCCCAAAATTCAACCTTCAAATGAGTAGACGATCCTTCCAATTCTCTTCACCTAAACTATGGAATTCAATCTCACCTAACAGCAACCTGAAGAACTCTGAATCAATTGACATATTCAAACAAAGACTCAAAAATTATTTGTTCCAATTACACTTTGGATAATTGGTAGATCTCTTAATCAAACATGCGCCTTTGGAACCATTCATTTGGTGTTTAGGTGCTATATAATTACTTTAATGTTTAATGTTTAAATGATATCCACCATGCATGTTGTATTATTAAGTATGTCTAAATGTAACGTCTCCAGGAATAAACATATGAATTCAAATGGTGCTAGAAACTGGATCTGAAGATAAGCCAAACTTAATTTAAAAAAATTCACATGTTGCATTTCAACATTCCATCATGGCGCGATCCAACAGCGACGTAGTGACCGCATTGAATTGTCTTTGTTACAAGAACAAGTAACATAACAATGAGGAATATATTACATATGATAATGATGACAGTCTTACCCATGGGCGTGTAAAGGTCTGGTGATGCCCGGGACCATCTCGTCGATTGCCTGCAGCCATCCCTATTCCCTCCACGCCACACACACCTGGGCTAAGTATAGAGCCTAACAGCTTGTGCACCAAAGTTAACATGGATAACACCAAATTTTAAAAAGCTTAATTCTAATTTCACTCTTTGTTTGTACCTCCACCCCCACCCAACCCAACCCATCTAGTCGTTCGGATGGGACGAAAAAAAAACCCCGAGGTCCCGTGTATATATTGGCATGCAGCTGAATAGGCAGCTGGAATTGGATATAAGAGTAGGCCATAGTGCCTCTACTCAGATAACACTTCCCCCATAGCACACTATATAGTGTATGTCCGTCTTCATTAGCTGAGTCGAAGCAGTACAGTTGAACATTAAACTTCATTTCATTTCCTTTAAAAACCCAATTCTAATTTCACTCTCTATTTGCACACCTACCACCCTCACCCCCCCCCCCTTCACATGCACCTGATTTACCTGAATCCTAGATCATCATCTTCACCACCCCAACCAAAGTAAAGATTTGAGAATCCATTGGTCTTCTCCATAACAGTCTTAGGATAAGCAACAACTCCACCATAATAATCAGGGTACGGTAATCTGGTGGAACAAAAAAACAACTTTTAGCATTCTAAAAAAGGCGTTAGGTAAGATTTAGATAAAGACTTGGTCGTTTTTTGCTATATAAATTCAAAAATAGATAATTTAAAATGAATATATTCAAACTTTCATTTAAATTACATTATTCTGAGCAAAGATGTAGCGTAGATTGTTCATTATCGTATCAACAGTACTGGACAAACGAGACGAAGTCTCTACTATTCATTTTATTCTTTCTTTTTTTTAATCCATTTATAAATCTAAAATATGATTCTCTAGAGGGTTGATTATAGTCTTTTCATGTGAATAGATGTGTAATTAATAGTTTATATAACACCTTATATAGGCGACAAACGATTTAACCTACAATAGGCAAGGCCCGAGTTCACAAATCATTCTCAGACTTAAGACTTTACTCAACTTTCAATCACTGTTTATGAGAAATATCTTTGATCCAGAAACACAAAACTTTGCACACAGCCTCTTATTGATGTATTTGATACATTAAAACAACAAAAGTTTTATAAAGGTTTATATTTTAGTTAAAATAAGGCGAACAATTTCGAGTAAATTCTTAACTTAAGTTAAGTTGTGAACTCGGGGCCCGATTTAGTTCTTGTAAGATTTAACTATTATCCAGGTTCGTTGCAACAGTTTATAAATGCGTATAATTAGTGAAAGTCATTATAAACTCTTTGGTCGTAAACGAAAAACCCAAACTGGATTTTATTGAAACTAGGGTGGTTCCTATACTGTTGGTTTTACTTTCCGAAATTGCTTTTTTAAAATTTTATTTCGAATTCCTTTTTGTATTTATTTACAGAGGTTAAAAGATTTCATTCGGAACTATTCTATATTGTTTTTGTTATAATGGATTTGCTCATGTGCGTTCTACTACACGTCTTAGAGGCCTACACAACCATACAACTGGTGGTTGTAATCATTTATTTATCATCTACTTACCGTTGAAAGTTTGGGTTAAAGTTAAGAGAGTGTAGATCAAACACGCCGCTGGCAGGGTGTGTATTGAGGTGTTTAAGATGAATTCTACAACGTGGCAAAATTTGGACAAAATTGTCGAACGGGGCATTCTGAGGTTTATAGTGCCATGCTAGTCCCTAACAACATACTTTGTGTTGAGTTTACATTAATATCAACGGGGGGGGGGGGGGGGGGAGAGAGAGAATTACTGGTCTGAATCCATGTTCTTATCAAGAGTTTTCTCCCCTTCGGTCTTACATATTATCTATAATTATAAAAGTACACTACCCAAATTTCCATTTCTCAACAGCTGCAGCCAAGTGTCTTGGAGATGTTGAACATTTGTATATATTATTATCATTAATAGGATACATGTCGACATCGTGAAATATAAAACATGAATAGTTATCTTGTTTTAATGCCTCTAAATAACCAACATTCGTCATAAGTGCTCGGTTAAATTGTCCTAGTGGATCCTGTAACGTAATAATATTTTTAGTATCAATAAAATCATGTCCAATATTTACAAAGTGTAAAAACATAATATTATAGACATTTAGCAACCATTTTACAGCATTATTAGGTGGTACTATTTTAAAGATTTTTCATGTACAGATACGTTAACTGTTTCTAAATTAATATGCATAGTTTTTTGGTGCAGGATGGGGGGCCTGACAAGGGACAACGTATAGTATTTCTGGTGATAATAAAACCGAGGTCCCGTGTATTGGCGTACACGTAAAAGAACAGTTGGCAGTTAGGATTCGATACAAGAGTAGGCCGTAGTACCACTGACCGGACAGAATTTCCCTCATAGCACACTGTATGGACTATGCCTGTCTTGATTGGCCCAGTTCAGAGCAGAACAGTACGAAGTTAAACACCGTTTGATTTTAAAACAAAAACATGTGATACAAACCTGCTCGATAACAAATATAGTAAATTCAACCTGTTGACGGAGCAGCATTGGTGGCATATGTGACAAGAAGTCCATCAGATGTCTCTGTCTCTCTCGGTATGGTATTATTATTGCTACTTTCTCTCTCGGCTTGCACTCCAATGGTTTAAATTTACCACCAAGTTCAGGCTTATATTTCTGATATTTATTATTCAGGTCTTCCAGCGTTCCATTAAAATGGTGAAAGACAAACGGACCTACTGCAAATAATCAAAACAATAATTTTCCCCAAAAAATTATTGACCTTTAAAAGGAGATACAGTCTTTTGCGCCAGAATCTTATTAATTTACGGGCCAATTTCTCCTATTAGCACGTGCTGGAATAAAATTTCCTACGCTAAACGATCCACCGAATCCTAACAGACGAAGTTGTTAGCGACATCAAAAGTTATGGGACGTTAAATAAAGGGCTTGCAGTTCTCCCTCTGATCCACTCTAAACCGATATATTAGCTTTTGAATTTTAGGCTTAGCCTCGATTATCATTACTAAAGTCGGTACGAGTACGATATGAAAAACATTGTCTCGATTATCCAATTTAATCACCAGTGAGCGTTGAGCGGCAGATCGGATCCTAATCCAATAACTATTGCAGGCTAGCAATGACATCGAGAGGTGATTATGCTCTTGTCATGCTAATAAATGTCTAATCAATAATTTAGATAACGTTTAAGGCATAAAGAAAGACCTACAATAGGCAAATTTAGCTCTTGCATAATGTATGTGTAATTTTCTAATACATGTATACAGGATATCATCGGTATGTTTTTTCCCAGTTTACAGGCCCTCGCATCATACACTGAATGCTAAATGGTTAGCAATGCATATCAAATATCACATGATTTTTTCAGCAAATTTCGGTCAAATTGGTTGTTTGTACTACTCGTACATTAAGGGAATCAATAATAACTCAGAAGTCCCATTCCTGAAACAAAGTACCTATACTGCTGCAGCAATGCCACATTGCTCAATTTCTTCTGCGTCATAGTGGAACACAGAGTTGATTTAATTCATTTGAAATGGCCGAAGAAACGTAATTGTACCACTACAGAATCATAAACCCGTTTGGGAATAAAGTGCGTCGTGATCTAACAGCAGTTTATTGGTATGATTGCCCTCGCCGAGAAAATTTTGAGAAAAAAAACCGTAGTCTCATTGGTGATTTTGTAGCACCATGGGTCTTTTGTCAGACGTGGAGAGCGGGCTATCCCAAACCCTAGTCTCCGGTTGTACGTGACAAGGAGTTTGGTAGCCTGCCCAACCTTTCGGTTTTTTCCGGGTCCTCCGGTTTCCTCCCACTCCTCAAGACCCATACGCGCAAGCGAATTATTGAAATAAAATTGAATCATATGTTAGTTCCGAAATGACATAGTTTGTGTCGAGTGGACGTTAAACCCCATTTCTCCCTCTTTTTGATATTCAATTTCAACCAACGAAAACCTAAATTTACATGTTTCATAGTGAAATGTATTTACTCAGTAGCATAGGATTACACTGTACAATAGTATTGAAGATTTTTGGCAATGATTGTACACCATAGGCCTACATAATCCCGGTAAATATGTCGCGTGATAGGTTGAAGTGATATTGTCACACTGAATGTACCGCCACAGAAAGCATGTTGCCTTCTACACAGTCTGATTAAAAACAGATCTATATTTTATTTCGGATTTTTTATACTTTCGATGGGCTACACTACATGAAGATCTGAAAAATTGTACTGGAAGGTCGTGTCAGAACCGTTCGAGCGACTTTTGACCTCTGACGTCAGACATTGATTAATCCATCAGCATTGACGTTTCTAGGGGTTTTCCCACAGTTGCGTGCATGGCACGCCAAGAAGTCGCCGCTGGCTCGCTAGCCTGGAGGTCGGATGTTCGATCCCTGCATTGGCCAAGAAACTTCATCGGGATTTTCCGACGTGGTTTCCCCTTGTCAGTGGTCCAGAACGGAGGGCCTGACAAGGACAGCTGTCTAGTCCTTCGGATGAGACGAAAATCCGAGGTCCCGTGTATACACTGGAATGCACGTAAAAGATCCCTTGGCAGTTGGAATTCGATATAAGAGTAGGCGATAGTGCCCGGGCAAAATTTCTCTCATAGCACACTGTATGGCGTATGCCCGTCTTTATTAGCCCAGTATACGAGCATAACAGTAGGACTTTAAACTCCATTTCATTTCATCTCATTTCCACTTGACCACAGAACGTGACACATAGAGAAACGGAATAATACTCTTATCTGAGGGGGGAGGGGGACAACTGCTAGGACCTCCACTTGCATTTGCCACTTTAAGAGGTCCATTAATCTCGGTAGCCCTCGCACACATGTGACACGTGCATTATAATGTCAAAACATTAAACTACCAAACCGATCGATAAGCTTCATAAATCGTGATTTATGTACACGCTTGATGATTGATGCTATATCGTAGCCCTTATTATACGGAGAAGGGAAGGAACTTAACATTGACTGTTTCCGTTTGACAACTTTCGTATGGACCAGGTTGGCGGAGTCAACATAACTACACGAGAACGTTATCGTTATTCTTTTTTTTCTTTTTTTTCTTTTTTGGGGGGGGGGGGGGTAGGAGGGAGGGGTAGTCAAAAAGATATGCACTATGTTAACGGGGTCCACATAACTACGTGAGAACATTATTTTCGTCAGCTTCACCTCCGCCTCCGAGCCAACCATACTCGTAGGCTCCGTCTAACTCCACCCCTACCTTGTATGAAATGAGTGAACCCATCGATGGACTAGATAATCGAGATTTATGCATGTGCCATGGTTAGGGGATTCTCGATTGTCAGGCCGAGGCGTGCGGAATGGACACTGTTTGATTGACGGGGCGTAATTTAACACATCAAATATGTTTCAGTTGTTATGTTTGATTGAGATATTTTCTTATGCTGTAACCCGAATCCCCCGTTTCACTCAAATATCACCATTTTGGGGACTCGGAGAATCCAGTTCCAGTAATTAAATCCAGTAAATCCCCCCCCCCCCCTAACCTCTTAGGAGTCACTTACCTAAAAAAGGGGGATTCTTCGGACATATCTTGATTGAAATTTCTGTTGTCTGTCGTGTTAACTGGTAACTATTCCAATATATCATTAATGACGACATTGAGAGTATGATGAACACGCCAGATATTTGTATTCGTCTATATGTTGACTGTAAAATTAAAACAAATCTAGAGTTGTCCTAGTAACAACTATACATCAATATCAACATCTGGTAATAATCACCTAGACCCCATAACATTGAAAACAAAACATGTGGTTCAATTTCATTTCAATAATCCGCTGGCGCGTAGGGGATTTTAGCCGTGGGAGGAATCCAGAGGACCCGGAGAAAACCCAATAAGATGAACAGGCGACCGTACTCCTTGTCACGTACAAGCCACATCACTTGGCTCAATGACAGACCTCCTGATCCAACGCGCACGCGTTAAACAATTGACTCCCGCCCCCGATATGTGAAAACAAAATTTAATCGTGGGCGAGACTTGAATCTCAAAAAGCAGACTCCAAGGAAGTATATCTGGAGTTTTTATGTTCTCAGGAACAATATTGAAATGGAAAACGAATAACAAAGAAAACACCCAAAACTGACAAAAAGAAACAGAACCGCTGATACTTTTCATCCCTTACTTCGCATAAAGTTAATTTTAATGGTCGTAACGACCTAAAACCGTAAAACACCAAACTCCCTCTCGCGAAATTGAGAGTTAAGGGATTAAAAATCCAATAGGATTAGTATGCGGGATAAGGGGATCACGTGTCTAAGTAGGTAAGACGCTGGCTCGCTAGCCTGGAGGTCGGGTGTTCGATCCCTGCATTGGACGAAAAAGTTCATTCAGATTTTCCGGCGTGGTTTCCCCTTGTCAGTGATGCAGGATGGAGGATGGAAATTCTGTATAAATTTGCAATATTGCTATTGTTTAGTTAGCTTTCCGCTTTATGGGTTCTTTTCCTGCGTGGTTTCTCCTTGTCAGTGATGCAGGATGGAGGGCCTGACAAGGACAGCTGTCTAGTCGTTTGGATGGGACGAAAAACCGAGGTCCCGTGTACACATTGGCGTGCACGTAAAAGATCCCTTGGCAGTTGGAATTCGACATAAGAGTAGGCCGTAGCGCCGCTGCTCGGGCAAAATTTCCCTCATAGCACGCTGTATGGCGTATGCCCGTCTTCATTAGCCCAGGTTAGGAGCAGAAAAGTAGGACGTTAAACCCCATTTCATTTTCATTTTCAGTATGTGCGATTACAATGAGTTTAATCGGATTATATGGAGAATCTCCTACGAGTCTTTTTGATATCACAAACCCTTCTTACATGCATAAATAAATAAATATAATTATTTGTTATGGATTTCACTTTTACTGAACCTGATTACATTACGGCGTATTGATACATCATTTTTTTTGACAGCAATTCAACCATTGCAACGTCTTTTATATTGACCCGGTGTTTCCATCAAGGTTAATTAAATAAAATAGTTCCTTTTTAATAAGAAATAAGTTACTTTTAATAAAAAAAATGAACTGTTCTTTGAAAATAAAAAAAGTAGTTCCTTTTTGATTGGCCAATCAAATTCATGTACAGCGATATCGCAGTAGATTATGAAATTTATCACACCAGCGATATCTACTGTAGATTGTATTATTGGCTGATCAAACCAATTATCTCTATACCTCCCTTTAAACATACATTACTAACGTTGAAATTAGTAATGTTGTATGCAGTGGAATTCACGACATACATCCTTTTAAACATACATTACTAACGTTGAAATTAGTAATGTTGTATGGAGTGGAATTCACGACATACCTCCCTTTAAACATACATTACTAACGTTGAAATTAGTAATGTTGTATGGATGGAATTCACGACATACCTCCCTTTATACATACATTACTAACGTTGAAATTAGTAATGTTGTATGGAGTGGAATTCACGACATAACCCTAAAGTTCAAACTAGTTATGTGGATTGTTTAGAATTAAGGAGTGGGATTGGATAGAGGAACCGAGTGGCATTCACGACACAATTCTAACACCGAAACAAGTAATGTGGATTGGATAGCTGTGTGGAGTGATATTCACGACATATTTCTAACGTTGAAGCTAGTAATGTATGGAGGAATAACGTTGCCAATATTATTCCAGCAGTTCAAAATATGTATTTTAGTTTTACAATTTGCATTTGTCCACACTACTAAGGTCACAGTGTTAGAATACAGAAAACACTTTTGAATAATAAAAAATACAGTATAATAGTTATTTTGCACATTAAACTTCTCCATTCTCTTTTTGCATTATAGACAAATGTATCATAGAACTTAGCATTTTAGAACATATACCTTATATGGAATGAACGACGAACCTCATTTGCATACGGAACAAGTCCGGACTAAGACGGAAATTAATGATTTATGGTCATGGTCAGTAGAAAGGGGTGGTACTCATATTTGCAGACCTTGAAAAATGATTAATGAAATAAAATGGCGAGCATACGCCATGCAGTGTACAATGAAAGAAAATTTGCCCGGACAGCGACGTTACGACCAACTCCTATATCAAATTCCAAATAGCATATAGTACAAATATATTTCAATAATTCGGAGTTTTTAACAGTGGGATCAAAACCGCGCCACCTGGCATTATTATTCCGATCCGTAATGTAAATCCGTCGGCTTTTCAGGTAGAAGTCGTGGAACAAGCTTTATTTTGTAGGTTTTGATGTTTGATGACAAAAAAAACAACAATGTTGACATTTTTTCTGAGTAGATCGTCATAGAATGAGACGCCAGGTAGCCATTGTGATTTGGCACTGTATTAGTATTCACATGGGTCATGACTATATTTCAGATATTATTTTTCCATCACTTCATAAAGATATTTCCAAGATGGCGGCTATTTTTGGTGTGAAAATGGGACAATGTGAAGAATTTGATTACGTAGTAGTGTTTGGTGTCAATATATATGTATTCTGGGTAGCAGATTCCATTTCTTACATTTACAATCTTGTAAAATGATCACATGTTCACATATTTAGCACATTTCCAATATTGCTGCCACTTGTGTCGGAAAAATCGGACGATGTGCTGATTTTGATTAAGAAGTCATCTTTGGTGTCAATATAGATGTTTCCGGAGCGCAGATTCGACAACTGCGTAAAATGATTCTACTTAACATGCGGATCGCAATTAGTGTGTTGGAGTTTCAAAATCACAACCAACAGTACTACAGTATGGGGTTCCCTAAGGATCAGTCCTCGGTCCAATTCTTTTCACAATTTACACGCTGCCTCTTAGCGATGTCATCAGGGAATGTGATGCGAATTTCACCTCTTTGCTGATGATACCCAGTTGTATCTCAGAGGCTCACCTGGAAAACTGCATTGAAAAAATCAGCGTGTGGATGCATGAAAATTACTTGAAAATTCAGACAAAACAGAATTTCTTTCGATCTCTAGAACGAGCAAACAAACCTCCACAGAAGATTTCAACAAAAGTCAAACATCTATCTTCGATTCATCCATGATCTTAAATAAACACATTTCCTCTGTAAACACATCCTGTTTCCTTCAGTTGCGCAATATAAGTAAAATTCAAAAATATCTTGATGTGGATTCAACCACAACCCAACCAATGCCTCCGTAACTTCTCGCCTGGACTATTGCAATTCCCTACTTTACAGTCTCACAAAAACTTCATAAAGTCGTCTAGAGAAGATTCAAATCAGAGCCACACGAATTATTACTAAAACCAAACTTCAAGATCATAATTCACCAATTCTTAGGGAGCTTCATTGGCTACCTGTGAGGAAACGTATAGAATTTAAGATTTTACTGTTGACATACAAGTGTCTTCATGCCACAGCTCCGAGCTTTCTCCGGGGCCTGATTCAAATAAAACCCCTTCAAAGAACAACCAGGTCGTCAAATATACAACAACTTTATATTCCAAGAACAAATCTCGTATCGTGTGATGATAGGACTTTCTCTGTAGCAGCACCAGTCCTTTGGAACTAGCTACCTCAATACGAGAAAGAAGAAGAAACTATTGCAGAATTCAAAAAGAACCCCGCGACTCATCTCTTTACTTCAATATAACATCATTTTCTGTGACATACAACTCGGCGATATTGAGCAGTTTATTGGATAATAGGCGCTATATAAAGACATTATTATTATTATTATTATTATTATTATAAAGAACAGCGTTTCTCTTTACCATAGTAGTATTATAGTAGGCCATGCGTACTAAATTATTGGTCGATTGAATTGCTATTTAAATAGATACATGTTAGTTTAAACAATATTTTTATTCAGTATAATTACATATAGTCAAGCCTTGAAATAAGGTAGCTGTCACTGACAATGCAAGGCACAGATTCAGGCTTTGTCAGGTACAAAACCTCTAGTGCCTGTCATTTTGTCCGGCACTGATTTGTCTTTTTTATTGATGTTACTAACACATGTCCGGCACTAGGTACATCTAAAACCGTTATTTCCAGGCCTGCATATAGTCATACAATTGTTCAGTCTAAAGGATACGAAAACAAGCATCATGCTTATGAATATCGCTTCCTGATATGGTGAAAGTGAGAGTACATTTAAAGAACAATAGGTTGAACATTTATGCTAAATAAATACGAATAACTATAACTATAAAGAAAAAAAAAGTGAAAGTGAGTTGTCAATCATCAATACGAGGGGGTGAATAGTTTTAAATGCCGGTACTTACTACATTTTCTGGATATGATTTACTCGAAACAAAGCACGCCTTTTGTGTCGCATGTATTAAACCCTATATCGCATTTAAACGGAATACTGTAAACGTTTCGGTCTTTGATTGCATGTGAGTATTGGGAAAGTTGGAAACAGGAGTTTGAAATGGTAGAGTGTGTCCACATCGAAAATACATTAAAGTATTGTTTTGATAAATCAACCTAAAAGCTGTCCAATATTTCGAGGATTAAAAGGGTAAGATATTTTTGATTTGTGTTCTTAAAACATAGTTTAGATACACAGTACCTAGCCCTCGCCATCCTCCATCCCTTTCGTTTTCTCACAAACTGAACTTTTTAGTATTGGTTATTGGAAGCTAGTCCAGAGTCGGCTTCAAATTCAAAGTGTAACTGTTTTCTAGAAATATTATACGTGAATAAT